GGCGGGACCCTGGGCCACACCACAAAGCATTTAACAAGCTTCCCGGTGTGAAGGTAAAGGGTCGGTGTCTTCAGTGTCAACAAAGGCAACATGCTGTAATACAGCCCTCCCCTCTTCACCAGCCTCCCCTTTTCCGCGCTGTGTTTGTACCGCTTTCGAGCTGTGTTTCTGCAGAACTCTACTCCCCACCGCCCGTTCACCACCTGGAGTCACTACAGTCCCCATCAACTGGAAGCAAAACTGTCTGCAGCGGAAAAGCTCGACTATGACGAAGCCAGGACCACGTCGAGGAGTTCATTTTGGCAATGTGCTGCTCATACAGGCGACAGAAATAAAGAGCGTGTCTTCTTGCCAAGACTTGAACTCAAAAAGAAGAAACAGAGACTTTGTATGTCTTCACGTCTCCTTCCCAAACCCTGTTCTGTGGCCAAGTTTTTCCCAAGAGGGATGGGCCGGTCCACGGAGTTGACTGATGTCGTAAGCAGTCTGCGGGCCAGAGCCTGTGCCCCACTTAAAGAAGAGCTGGCTGCAGGAAAGTCTACGAGGACACGGAAGGGGGTGCTGGCCTTTCCCACAGACAGTTCTCTCAGTGCCCTTGTGTGGTTCAAGAACCTCTTGGCATTTTCAGCTCAAAAGTCACACCCTCCACGAGAAAAGATCTCCCCCTGCCCACCTGGAGAAGCAGACCCCCCTCCAGAAGGAACCCCCGGTGTTCCAGGGAGCCCGCAGCCTGACCCACCTGCCCACGCCCACGGTGGCCGGGTCACCTTGTCAAGATGCAGAGGCACAGGAAGGGGTCACAGAAGGCGGGGCTGTGATGTTTTAAAGTCAGAGATGGCACCGGGGATGGAAGGGAGAGAAAGGGCTGGGTCAGCCACCCATTCCCGGGCCTCACCCTGCTATGACCCAGAAACCCAAAGAGAGGTTGATCGGCCGTTCCCCGACCTTACATGGCACCCCACCAGAGGCAGAGGAAACCATAAAGGAAGAGATTCCCTTGTTGGTGATGACTATCACAACACCGTTAATCCGATATACTCCAATACAAAATAAAAAGGCTTTAAAAATTAAAAGAAAGAAAGTCCCTAATTGTGTCAAGGGTCACTAATTTATTGGTGCCATTTAAATAAGATTTTGTGTGAACTTACAGTTACCAAAAGAGAAGGCGGGTGGGATAAATTAGGAGTTTGGGATTAACAGATAGGCACTACTATAGATACAATATATAAACAACAAAGACCTACCTGTAAGTAGGAACTATAAGGAACTATGGGCTTCCCTGATAGCTCAGTGGGTAAAGAATCCGCCTGCAATGCAGGAGACACCAGTTCAATTCCTGAGTCAGGAAGATCCGCTGGAGAAGGGACAGGCTGCCCACTCCAGTATTCTTGGGCTTCCCTTGTGGCTCAGATGATAAAGAATCCGCCTGCAATGCAGGAGATCCCAGTTCGATCACTGGGTCGGGAAGATCCGCTGGAGAAGGGAAAGGCTACCCACTCCAGTATTCTGGCCTAGAGAATTCCATGGACTGTATATAGTCCATGGGGTTACAAAGAGTCGGACATGACTGAGCGACTTTCACTTTCACAAGGAACTATATTCGCTATCTTGTAATAACCTATAATGGAAAAGAATCTAAAGAGCAATACACACACATAACTGAATCACTGTACTATACACCTGAAACTAACACAACATTGTAAATCAACCACTGTACATGCGCATGCTCAGTCGTGTCTGACTCTTTGCAACCCCACAGACTAACCAGCCAGGCTCCTCTGTCCATGGAATTTTCCAGGCAAGAATACCTCAGTTTTTAAAAAAAAAAAAAAAAAAGAGAGAGATTTTTGTATGTGTTTTCCAGAAATATCACGGTTAGAGGAAAGAAAGGAGTTTGGATTGAAATATGGTAATGACAAAATCAACTATTACCACAAATACCTCTGATCAGTGGTTTCATTTTAGCTGATTTCCACTCATTTTCTAATTCAATCCTTATAACGACATCAAAAGAAAGATTTTATTGCTTCCAGTTTCCAGATAACAAAATTCCAGTGAGGTACAAAAAAAAAGTATTTTGCTGGAGGTCACAAAGTTACTAAGAGATGGAGCCAAGATTAGACCCCCAGGTCTTAGAGCTCTTGATGCATGAGTCACTCAAACTTCCTTGCTTCCTACTTGCCCCTTTCTACAAATATTAACTTAATCTCTCAATGTCCAAGTTTCATCTAAAATACTAGATGACTCAACTATTTTTTTAAGATTTCTTCTTTAATGTGGACCATTTTTTTCTTCAAAGTCTTTACGGAATTTGTCACAACATTGCTTCTGTGTTTTTGTTTTTTGGCCATGAGGCAAGTGAGATCTTAGCTGCTTGACCAGAGATCAAGCCTGTACCTCCTGCATTGGAAGGTAAAGGCTTAACCACTGGACAGCCAAGGAAGTGCCTGAACTACTCATCTTTAATAGGCACAATAACCACCTAACTCACTGCTATTGTCAGGGTTAACTAAAATAATAGATGGAACAGGAAATCCTCCATAGTCAACCACCTTTTACTCGAAAAACAGCAGTGACATACAACTAAATCTAAGACATCCCTGGTCTTGGTAAACTCTTAAGTAGTTAAAACAGTTATATGTTACAGATTATTTATTTTGGGTTTTGAAATTTGCGGTTTTAGTATTCAGACTCAGAAGGCTTTATGTCACAGTGGCTGAGAGCTCAGATCCTGTACTCAGAATCTGAATTCCTCCCTTCATTCTCTCATCTGTAAAAACTAGGAAAGTAATGGTATCCACCGTCAGAATGATGTTATCTCAAGTAAAGCAGTTAGGGCAGTGCCTGGCAAAGGTGGTGATGGTTTAGTTGTTAAGTCATGTCTGGCTTTGCGACCCGATGAACTATAGCCCACCAGGTTCCTCTGTCCATGGGATTTCCCAGGCAAGAATACTGGAGCAGGCTGCCATTTCCTTCTCCAGGGGATCTTTCCAACCCAGGGATCAAACCCACGTCTCCTGCATTGCAGGCAGATTCTTTACTGATTGAGTCACCAAGGAAGTCCTTGTTTGTTATTATTTTTAATTATTAATTAACCTACTACCTTCATTAAGGTAGTATTTGCATAAAGCTGCCCATACTAGCATTATGTATAATAAAAACCAGAAATAAATTTCACACAACAGGGAAACACCATAGTTGAATTTGAAAGAACTGCCTTTAGAATTAATGAAAACCAATTTAATTACGATTTAAAAGCTTCTGCATTGCCACTTAGGGGCTGGACAATTTTGAACAAGTCATTTCATTTCTCTGGATTTGTTTCCTCACTTTGAAAATGAAGGGCCTGCTCTCAATGACTTATAAGTCCTCTCCAGATTTAAAGTTTATATTTCTAAGGTTTTCAATAAATTATAATCCATCGACATCAAGGATAATAAGCAACCCCTAGGTACACAGAGTGATAGTGGTAAAGAACACGCCTGCCAATGCGGGAAATGTGAGAGACATGGGTTCGATTCCTGGGTCAGGACGATCTCCTGCAGAAGGGCATGGCAACCCACTCCAGTATTCTTGACTGGAAAATCCCACGGACAGAGGAGCCTGGTGGGCTTTAGCCCATGGGGTCTCAAAGAGTCGGACATGACTGAAGCGACCTAGTACACAGCACATATGTACATAGAAAGATGGCAGCAACATGAGACGATATTTTATAAATTAATAATCCCAACCTTCGTTAACCCTGCTTTTGTTCTACGACATTAGTTACCTCCTAACAGAGTTTGTACTGTGTTTACTGTGAATCTCTATGAATAAGGCAGAAGCACCAGGACAACAGGGATGTAGATCTGGTCTCTTCACTGATCTGTTTTATCCCCAGCCCCTAGAGCAGCGCCCGGCACATACTAGGAGCTCAGTTCACATCTGTTGACTGAAAAACTGTGAGTACTAAGTTTAAAGGGCAAAGTACAGGGACTTCCCTGATGGTCCAGTGGTGAAGACCCTGTGCTTCCAAAGCAGGGGGAGCAGGTTCCATCCCTGATAGAGAAACTAAGATCTGGCAAAAAAAAAAAAAGAGCAAAGCACGAAAGTATATACATAAAATAGAATGCCATTCATATAAAATATCTACCCTCATGGGGAAACGGCAGATGGGATCAAAGAAATTAAAACTCAACGACAACATGAGAGTAGGGATGAAAGCATTTTGTTTTCCTTCAATGTTCTGAATAAATTTATCTGTTCAAAAAGATGGCATCAGAACAGAGAAGCACGTAAGGAGGAGAAAAGTAAAGGAGCAATGGAAGGCATGCCCAAGGAAGATGGCAGCAGACCTGAAGGAAGGGGCCAGAAGGGCTTATGCAAATAGGAGGCTCTTGGAGGTTAGTTATTCTGTGAGTGGAAACAATCACAGGGGTAGAAAGAAAACTAGGTAATATGACAGAGAAAAGAAAAGCCAATTTATTTTGAACTTTTAATTACAAGCTAATTTCTATTAAACTATTCCCAAGTTGATAGTATTTCCCCATTCACTGCCTCAATCAACAGAAGCTTTGGTGAATCTGATATTCAGAGGCCTTTGGAGGGGCAACCTGTTACTCCTCTTGATCTGCTGCTGTGGATGCAAGAAGAAAGCAAGAGGCCCACAGACCGAAGTGAACTGGTACAATGTAGATCTTTTCATGACCCAACTGATCAACCAGGGTCACACAGGGGAAAACACAAAAGAGTACAAGAAACAGCCTTCCCTTCCAGGGGATGAAAGACACAGGACCTTTGATCATACAAAGCAACACACACTTGCCAAAGAAACCGATACAGACAAACAGCCTGGAAAGTAAAGGCAAAGGACCATGCCTTTTGATTTGGGGGAGTCAGCATTGAGGGCATGGGGAGAGACAGGGAGGAGACGTCCAGCCCGTATGCTGAACTTGATCAAATCACCAGAGGACCCGAGAGCTGTCTGTGGGCTTCATCTTGAACCTTTCACCTGGTCCTACCTTGCTTTTGGGATTCCAAGCTACTCTGAATGCCTGCAGCCTCCAAATGCTCGCCTGAGCTCTTCATCACCGCCAGGCATCTGAACTCTGAGCCGAGCAGGTCAGAGCCCCTGCTGTCAGAGTTCTCAGGACTGGTGTTACTCATTTCAAGGACATATCATAATTGCAGCTGCATGGTGATTTGGGTACTTCCTTGAACATTGTGAGGTTCACCAGGGCAGGAGCCTTGCCTGTCATGTCAACCTTGCATCCACAGTGCTAGCACAGAGCTGGGCACCACGCCTGGCACATGAGCTCAAACCATGGCAGCTGGTCAAACAGAAGACGGGGTGCAGCCTGAGTTACCCAGTCCTAGGGCCTTTACCCTACCCTGAACCCCCAGCATGGCCACAGCCCTGGAACCAGGGAATGGATCAGCAGCACAAGGAGGTGAGATGTAAACTGCCCCCTCTTCTCAAATCAGCCAAAATGATGAGGTCACCAACTTTGTGACATAACAGCTGAAATACAGAGCTTTAGACAGTATGGTGTGAATATGCCAAACAGGAGCTAAGAGCATGGAACGAGTTTAGATTCTCACAGTTTCAAGGCCACAGACGAAGAGATACTCTATAAGGTTAAAAAAGGAAGAAGAAAAAAAGAAATCTTTCCAGGAGAGAACCAGTATAGTCCAAGTTAAAAAGAAGCTTAACTGGTTTAGCTAGCTTCCCCTCTCAAATCCTGAGGCTGATTTCACATTAGAACACAGGTTGAGGAGTGGAAGAGAGGGGCTATATGTATACTTACAGCTGATTCACGGTTATTGTACAGCAGAGACCAACACAGCATTGTAAAGCAATTATTCTCCAATTAAAAATAAATTTAAAAATAAAATTTAGTATTCACTGGACAAAAAAAGAACACAGGTTTAATGAGAAAGCCTCCATCCTTAGTTTTAATGCAGAGAAGAAGAGGGGAATGGAACCCTGCCTGAACTCTGGTTTTGTTTGAACCCACAGACTCGGAGAAATGTATGTGGTTCTCATTTCGGCATTTTATTTAATCTTGTTATTTAAGAGGCCACTTGTTATTCATGAGGGCCCGCATCAGAATTTCTGAATGAATCGCCTAATTTTAGACAAGGACAGAACCGTGAAATTCATCTTTAATCCAGCATCGTACTCTTTAACTAGATGGTGGAGGCCAAGACAGGCCCAGGGGGCTCACGGAGCGCAGTCCCCAGGCCTGGACTCTGGGCCCGGAGTGAGGAGCGCACAGGTCCCCATCTGCACTATTAGAGGACTGCTGAGTTGGTTTCCAAAGCTTAGACTGGATCACTGAGGTGTCAACAGAGTCCTGCAAAACATCTCTACTAATGAGCAGTGTGCAACATTTGATGTGGTGTCTGCTGTGATCTTCCAGGGTAGATGAGATCAACTGAAACATTATCCTTTCACTTTCCTAGTGGTCCAGTGGTTAAGAATCCACCGGCCAATGCAGGGGACATGGGTTTTCAGTCCCTGGTCTGGAAAGATCCCACATGCCACGGGGCAACGAAGCCCATGTGCTATAACCACGAGCCTGGAGCCCGAGTTCCATAAGAGAAGCCACAGCAATGAGAAGCCCACACACCACAGTGAAGAGTAGCCCGCACTCAACACAACTAGAGAGAGCGCACGTGTAGCAATGAAGACCTAGCACAACCAAGAATAACTGGATAAAAATTTAAAAAAACAACAACAACATTATCCTTATTTGACCCTTCATTACTCTAAATCTCTTCCAAGGGAGAGGGGAAAAAATGTTAAGAGATGTGTACTGAAGGATGAAGAAGTAAGTGGAAATGAAGATTTCATGGGACTTCCCAATTTCCCTTGAGTAAGGGAATGGTATGGCTCCTGGTAGTTATACTGAACTTCTAACTCACAGAGTTCCTGTAAGCACTATTCCTGTGCCTTTGCCCATGCTGTTCCCTCTGCTACAAACATCCTTCCCACCCCTCGCATGCTTCCTGTCCAAACTACTCACCAAGACTCCGGTCAGGCATCCCTATGGATATTGGATACGGATTCCCACATGAATTAGTTTCTGTTTTTACCTCACAGTAACACATGGTGTTGGAGAAGACTCTTGAGAGTCCCTTGGACTGCAAGGAGATCCAACCAGTCCATCCTAAAGGAGATCTGTCCCAGGTGTTCATTGGAAGGACTGATGCTGAAGCCGAAACTCCGGTACTTTGGCCACCTCATGTGAAGAGTTGACTCATGGGAAGAGACCCTGATGCTGGGAGGGATTGGGGGCAGGAGGAGAAGGGAACGACAGAGGATGAGATGGCTGAATGGCATCACAGACTCGATGGACATGAGTTTGGGTAAACTCCAGGAGTTGGTGATGGACAGGGAGGCCTGGCGTACTGCGATTCATGGGGTCGCAAAGAGTCGGGCACGACTGAGCAACTGAACTGAACACATAACCCTACCTAACCTGACAGTCCTAGGATGTGTCAAAAAGACCAGCTATGGCATGAGGTTTGTATTAGCACCATGTATTCCATTGAGAAAAGCGCTGTGCAAACACAAGGTTATGTTTTATTAATTTATTACACCTGATTCCTTGCATTGATTTTGATGGATGAATCAACCAGCCCAATATTAATAGCCTGGTTTACTACACTCATTTCTCTTTCCAAGCCACAAGCCAAAATAAACTCACCCTCAATTTATAACCTTGCAACGTGTTCTTTTGCATATCGACTTCTAAATCCACTGTGGTTATTAAAAAGGATGGTTGCATCCATCAGGATGGGCCATGTTATGCTGCGGTAACAAACAAGCCCTAAATCTCAGCCCCAACAATGACCACAGTGGTCCCTCTGGGATCAACAAAAGGAGCCCAGCAACTCCATCTTTCTAGACTTCACCTGACATTTTGGATTAAGCAACTCTGTAGCTGACATCAGTTACAAACACATGACCTCCTCCTTTCCTTATTCAACCACCTATAAAGCTATCTTGCAGGGCTGCCATGCAGATTAGATGTGATCCTGCTTTTTAGATACTCAGGACACTGCCTGCCTTATAGGCAGCAGTTGGTAAATGATAAATGGTGGCTAGTAACACTGTCATTACCATTATCTCTTCTTCTTGTTCAGTCGCTAAGTCTGATCCAATTCTTTTGTGACCCCATGAACTGTAGCCTGCCAGGCTCCTTGCCTCTCTGCCCATGGGATTTTCCAGGCAAGAATACTGGACAGGTTGCCATTTCCTTCTCCAGGGGATCTTCCTGATCCAGGGGTCAAACCTGTGTCTCCTACATTGGCAGACGGACTCTTTACCACTGAGCCACCAGAGAAGCGTACCATTATCCCTACTCACCTTCAAACGATAATAATGACATTGTTATTATAATTCGCATGTGCCAAGGGTTCCTAAACTTGTTTACAAATTGGAATCACCTGGAGATCTTTACACCTACCAGTGCTGTGTCCCAGCCAGAAGCAGTGCATTAACTCATCTTATGCGTCGCCCTGACTTTGAAATTTTAAAAGATCCCAGGTGATTCTACTGGACAGACAAGTTTGAGAACCACTGTCACAGAGGCAGCAAGATGCACATCTATACAGACACATACAGGTGCACACACACTCACCCACACACATACAAGCTGGGCTGCTCCCAGGTTCCATGAATCCTGCCACTTTTATGACAGTGGTGTTCATATCATTTGGGTGAATGAGGTTATATGAGTCAACAAACAACCCCTAAATATCAGCCCTAATAACAACCACAGTGGGCCCCCTCCAGGGTCAACTAGATGAGCCCAGCAATCTGGTTTTTCTGGTCTTTACCTGATGCTAAAGGCTATGCATTTTACCCTCAGACCTCACTTCCTCTTTCATAAGTTTGCCAGGCCCACAGTAAATCAGAACCAAAAATATGATACTAGTGTGAACAAACTGGGAGGAGATTCGGTCAGAGGAGAGCCACCAAAGGCTACCAGTAACTGAGACTATTTCTTTGTTCAGCTCTCCATCCCCAAGATCCAAAACACAGTAGCCAACTTAATAGAAATGTGAATAGGCATTAATAAATGAATTATCATCACTAATAATCTGAAAAAGAAGTGAAAAGCAGACACAGGATCTCAAAAACACAGCATCTCAGTTGAAAACTTTATGGTTCAGGTTGTCACCAACCATCATGTTGATTTCTCTCTTTTTGTTCATTTCTCTCAGGTTGAAATTACACCTGCAGAGGTGGAAATGAATGAGATCAGGAGATCTATGAACAGAAACAAGGACCTTGAGTAGTAAAGAATCTGCCTTGCAATGCAGGGGAATCAGGTATGATCCCTGATCAGGGAAGTAAGATCCCACATACGGCGGAGCAACTAAGTCGGCGTGCCTCAACTACTGAGCTCACACACTGTAATTAGAGAATCCATGTGAACCACGGAAAAGATCCCACATGATGCAACAAAGATCCTGCATGCCATAATCAAGACCCTGAGGTGGCCACATCCATAATCAATTAATTTAAAAGAATATACACAAATTAAAAAAAAAAAAAAAAAAACAAGGACCTTTCTCCAGGCAGCAAAGCACCTGTACGCTGGGTGCAGGCAACAGAATGAAAACATACATCTTACCACCAGCACACAAGCGATTTTCAGCAAATCATCTCTTGCTCTGTTGGATGCTAAGTTGTGGCAGAGTCCGGAGAAAACCAGGAAATCCAGCTTGTTTGCCCTAGTTTTGGCAGCTTAATTTAGGAATCACACTGGGCTTTCCATAAACACTTTACCAAACAAATGTATCCTGTGCTGTGAACATGAGCTTTAACTTGGGGCCCAGGGGGAGGAAGCATTGTGTGTGATTCCATAATAGTTACTCTACTATTTTAAAACCAAATGGAAGCCTCAGGCAGCAAAGTCAAAGAGAGAGAAATCATTTTCGTAAAAGTATCTGAATGCAACCATCTCTCCTGAAGCATTGTGAGCATTCAATGGTTCTGCTTTTCTCAGAAGCTCATTCAATTATCTCTTACTTATCTGGACCAGGGAGAGGCATTTTCCTCCCATCTAGAGTTAAAGGGAAAAAAAAGGAGGCATGATCCTCTAACAAAA